TCGGGATGCAAGAAAAAAAATTATTGTAACTTCGAATTTGCTCTTGTAAATCGCTCTAAATTGATAAGTTCAAAGTTTGTTGGAAAACGCGGACTACGGTCTCCGGACTCTAGAGTGTTCTCTTCACTTATAGCAAATATTTAGATTAAAATATAATTGCATTAAAATTGTTATGAGAAATAATAATTTGACACGTATTTGTCGCATATTACTCAATATTAAATTACTGTTAAATATTTCAGAGTTTTAGAACCTTTTCGCTTTCATTTATATTCCTTTTTTATTCTTAAAACGTATTTTTATTCCAACATGTAATCCTAACAATACTTTTTAGTTGGTTTGTGGGTTAGAAAATTTTCTAAAATACCTCATTTGGCATTTCAATGGTGACGTAGATAAGCGGGCAGCCTCTTTCTTAAATTTCTTACATTACGCCCGCCGCTAGCTGCCCGGAATATCTAGAGATTACTTGCCGAAGACGAATAATTGTTTTAGCATTTTTGCACAAGTGAATTGACACAAGAAATGCATTTGTTCGCTTATCTCTTTGTAAGAAACGTCCACAAAACGGCTAGCTGCAATTTTGAAATTAGTCATATTATTCACCTGAAGCTGTATATAACAAGCATAATACGTTCAATTTGATCAATCAGAATGCAGGGTTTGGTATATCCAACTGTGCAAAAATTCTAAAAGTTAATTAACACGATTCAAAACGCCCTTCGTGGAGACGCTTTTGTTTCAGTTCGTTCAAAATAGGAAGCTGTTGCATCCTATTCGCATTAACTGTAATCCCGCTTACGCTGTTAAAGTTCTATGATCACAGCACCCTGGGTACAAGGTAAAATTTACAATCTTTAACTAATTTGTAACAAATTATACGGTGAAGGAATACAGTGTTGATCATGATTTATAACCCCAACAAATAGTAACGTGGCTATAAACTAACAGACGTTTTTTGAAGTAAGGACACAATTCGGGTACTATATATACATTCTAGGGTCTGAAATTTTGAGGTTTGTGGAATTAACATTCCGTCCAGGAATTATGGGAAAAAGATTCAACACTGTTCGAGATAATATTCTTATTAAATTTTCGATAGAAACATGTAGGTTGTATGTTCCCGACCTAATGATGCACTAGCGAGGTAGATGTATGTCGCGTTGCAAAAAGCTCGACACGACCAAGCAAACCGAAATTATCACTTCGACCCGTTGCATGTAAGAATATTCCAGTGCGTGTAATTCATGTACAGTACTGTCCAGAAAGTTCCTAACACTACGGTTGCGGCTCGGTTGCGGTCGACCGACAGAAATGGCAGACGACCGCAAGGGGAAAAATACAATCGTGTTTGCCGTTCGCTTTCCAACGGAATTCTATGAAGAGATAAGAACGACAACACAATGATCATATCGAAAACATCTTATGAAATGTCTGTCAGACCGAGTTCCACCGAGGTTCAACATCGGTCTTACCGCGGTTCGACCTCAGTCTTACTTCGGTTGAACCGCAGTTTTTTATGTTATTTCTGGACAGTACTGTACATATGTCAGGTTTGCCACACATTTGTATTTCTCGACACCTAGAACAGAGCAAATTCTGGCTTTCCGCCTGAGTATATCTATCCGTCAGTCTCTTCCACACTTGACAGAAGTCAATGATAACGCATGAAGATAATTCAGCTGAAGAATTTGTGTGAATAATGAACATAAATAACACGTTGCACATCTATTTATGCATCTTCGGCAAGATGTGAGGTCAGATGTTTGAAAAAATATACGCTTAGTTTCCCTTCCTCTTTTAAAATCACGTGATGAAAATATTTCGCTACTTCAGCAAAATATTTTGTTGCTTTTGATGACCGAAAGTGGTATTTCCTGACTTGGCATTTTCGTGTTGGAAATCAAGAATTATTGACAGAATTGAAAGTTAATGCCGGAATTGATTATCATGATTGAGAGCATGGGAAAAAATTGGAAGAAATTAATACTTGAGTTGAGTCAGGAATGCAAATTCTAGAGAAACTTTAACATTTGGATTTTTAAATACAAGAAACCGTTTAATAAAGAGGTATTGCATCTTGGTTCATGCATTGCATCTTAGTGTTTTACATTGCCAACGATTTGTGTGTGACTTCATATAAACTAATATAGAAAGTAGTTTAGGGCAAATTGATCGTTGATATGTTATGGCTACGTTCATTAACTGTATTGTCAAATTTCACACGCGCAACCATGCAGGTGTTTTTTCGTATTAGCATTTCATGAACAGTGTTGTCCAGAAATAGCAAAACAAAAACCGCGGTTAAACGAGGGTCAGACCGAGGGCGAACCGTGGTGAGACAGAGGTTTAATCTCGGCCTAACTCGGTCTGACAGAAACTTCTTAAGATGTTTTCGATATATTTGTTGTGTTGTCGTTCTCAGAACGGCTATTGCGAAGGTATTTTTCCCTTTGAGATCGTCTGCTGTTTCTATCGGTCGACCGCAACCGAACATAACCGCAGTGTTAGTTTATTTCTGGACAGTATAATGCAGCTTTTGACAAAAGCAGTCATGCATGTTTAAAATTGTTACTTTGTCTCTACTTTTGCTTTGAATTCCAATCATTTTTGGAAACATCACAACGGGTTAGTGTTTCATTAGACTGCCCATAATTCAAGGAGAGAAATTGTCAAATTTTTCGTTCAATGAAAAACTTTGAATTTTAGGTGGTCCATTACTGTGTTGGATTCAAATTTAAAACAACAGAAAATGCTCAGCAGGAATGCTTAGTAACTGTCAACTGACTAATGTAACCAATAACAGCTGTAGCGAATTAGCGAAAGGGGATTTGGTTTTGATGTATGACGTTGAAGCAGTGTTAGAAAAGACAGAAATTGTTGTTAAATTTGTCAAAATTTAAAGATCGAAAACTCTAAAAGTAAAAACGCAGCTAGTTGTCGTAGCGATGAAATTTTTTGAACAAACAGTGCAAAAGAGTCATGATATCAAAGCCCGTTATCATATTTATATTAGCTCCTAATTATTATCAGAGCTCTGAAGCGGTAACATGGAAACTGGGATTGCTGTATATCTTGAGAAAATGGGATTCAGTTCTAATAACTAGGATTTTGACCCTTTTAAAGGTTGGGGTTTTTCTTATAAAAGTCCAATCGGGACTGGAATTTTGCAAAAATTCGAAGTTGGAAATGGGTTTGGGACGTATTAACAACATGCAATAGTTAACATTTAAGGCACCTCAACTAATTGTTCTTTTATGCTAATTGGACTTTACTTAACTAATGTAATGCGTCATTATTGCAGGTGGCAGTAACTTCTTTAAGTAAATTAAAGGACACGGCAGAAGCTTATATTAAAATTAGCAAGGTTTAGCTTTTAAGTTGCTTAGCAATAAGACGTATTTTAACACTTGCGTGCTAACACCTGCGCGTACAAGTACAGTAATCGAATTGTCGTTTACGTCGGGATATTGAACTTATATATGTTGAACTTATATATGTACGTACAGCAAGACCAGAGACTAGGATTATAGAAATAAGGTGAGGTGGTGATTAAAAAATTGTTTGGTTTGAGTGTCAGGTTTTAAGATCAAAAGAGTTAATAATAGACTTCAAACTATCTGAACATTGCCAGGCTACTTATGTCTGAGGGTTGAGCAGTTCTATGGAACTGTGTCTGTAGAACTGCTCAACCCTCAGACCTATGTAGCCTGGCAATGTTCAGATCGTTTCTATCAAGAACGTATTTACATTCGTTAGTGTCTTATTACGACGTCGATATGCCCTGTACATGGTCATTGCACAGAACCGGTTCATGTCATAGAGTTTAATTAACATGCAAAGAGAACATATGCCATAGCCTGATTGGAAACTATATTTATTTGTTTCTTAAATCATCTTAGGCCGCCAACTATCTTATCTTAGATATTTTCCAAAAAAAAGGAAATGAACAGCTTGATTTTCGAGCTTGTGGCATATGCTTGTTCTTCGATTCGTGCAGCTATATAATTTATGTTTCTCGTGTGTGTTATTTGTTTTTGTATATGGAATCGGAGGAATGCCTTGCATGGAATCAGTACCCCGTTCGCATTTTTTCCGTTTGAGCATTGTTCAATAAATTTGATTAGACTTACGACGAACAGCGGGAGCCTAGAATCTCATCGGAATTCCGGTTTTGAAAAGCACCTTTTAGAAGAGTTATACCGGATAAAACTACTTAGTTACGAGGTATTGATATAGCATTACAAATATATACCCGTAAACAGTAAAACTTAAGTAAACTTTACTTTTATTTTTCCTAACAACCCAACGAACTTGATAAAAACTCTAAATTTGATTATTTTCTATAGTTTTGCGAAAGGGGAATAACTAGATCTTCGAGGAGAATTAAGATCTTTTAAATGAACACCCTTAATTTTCGATTAGCTACTTAGTTTCAAGAATATGTTGCCACATTATAAAACTGAAATAGCAGTTTATCAATAAAAACGTAAAAAAATCGTTTATTAACAGTCCGGACTAGACATTGCGTTTAAAGAAATTTTGCCTCAATTTAACTATACTTTAAGTTAAAATTTCATTTGTAAATTTCACGACATTTTAATTAAAGTAAAAGAAAGATTTTGTTTTACAGCAATGCCACATTGCATAGAGAATAGTTAGTAAAAAAACTTTATGTACTGAGCAATTCGATCGGTGCTGTAAAAATTATGATTATATATTTATTCAGTTAATGGCTACGATTAGCCAGTTATTCCAACTAGCACCGCGGGAAAACGGCTGCGCATGCGCCAAATTATGAAAAATAAGAAGCGTCGAAAAGTCCCGAAAACGGCAATGTTTTTTTCTTTTCCTGGCAGTTGTTACCCCACGTATTGCGAATTTTTTTCAAGACGCTGCCATGTAGGCTGCTCTCTGGTTATATTGGTAGCATTTGGAAAATAAATTTGAATGGATAGCAACAATTTTCAATTCAAGGAACATATTTTATCTAATAGGCAATGTGGTTCACAAAAAACCTCATTACTCCTTTATTAACATTGGCAATAGCGGTGGACAACACGATCGCAAATGTGCACTTTTGCTATGATTCAAGTTTCGAAGGTAAGATTTAATTGCTTATAATTATGGTCGACGTCGTAAATTTGACCCAGGACGCAACTTTTAAGTTTTCTACTTCAATAAAAAAAAATTTCCTAGATTATACCAATCATAGTCCGTCATTTTTGACCAGTTTATTTGAGACAGCGCTTTAACGTTCTGGGGCCAGTTTTAAAATTTTCTAACTACATTTTACGTAGTTAAGGTGGTCTGATTTATTCTCTCGTTGTAACATTGATTACATTTCAATAACAATGTTGACTCGATTAAGTCGAATTATATCAGTGGTTAAGAATGGTTTGCTATAAAAAGAACTACATCACAAGATGCAACATTACAACTATATTAAAACATAAGTTCAAACTATGCTCGCGATCAAACAAAGAATAATACATTCTTATGGTGAATTTTTAGATCTGTATCAAGCTTATAGCGTATCTCGCCCCCCCCCCCCGTTACCATGGTACAGATAAAACCATATTCATATTATAGTAGTTGTAACACAAGTATTGATATAGAAGGTTTCAAATCGAGTAAAGAGGGTAATCGAGTATAATATTCCGCCGCACACTTTAGGTTTCAGGCTAAATACAGCAATTCACTCAACCGTATTTGTGTATGATTGGGTTGACTGTGCTGGGGAGTGCCTCAAAGAACCCTGTTGCAGATCAATCAACTTTAAGAAAGAATTAATCTTACAAAATTCAGAAGATTATAATTGCGAAATGTTGCACAATGTCATCACCAATGTATCAAAGAACTTGTTGGAACCAAATTCGTCCTACGATTACGTATTTATTCATAACCCAAAAAAGGTAAAATACATCTTACGTATTACAATTTAATCATAATCAGTCTTATAATCAGAAGTATAACAATATCAATAATATTAAACAACGTGCAAGCGGTAGTAAGAATTAATTAAAGGTAGTTGCATGAGGACTCAGTTGAGGTGAATTAATAACAGTAGACAATTGGGATTCAAGTTACAATGTAATAAGAACGTGGTTTACCAACATCTACACATGTAATATACCAGGTGATCTCGCGCTTTTATTTTAACCAATCAGCGCGCGCTATGACAGGTTGTCGAAATAGAAATCCAAATTGCAGTATTTAACCGATTATATAACAATTTAGTTGGACTTTACGAAAGTGATAGAAATTTTGTGAATACGTTTAGTGATAACAATTGAATTTGATAGAGATAGATTTGATCAGAAATGAATTGACGAGATTTCGAGCTCTTTCTTGCAACCGATATATGGGTTTCTATTTGATAACCACTGAAATCTAGTCCCCTCGTGCCATTTTAGATCTCATGGTGGCAGGAGAATTCCTATGAAATTCCTATTTACTAATCGCTTGCGCCAAGAATAATAATGATGCATGGTGTTTAGGAGTTGTGTAACAAACACCATGGCGAGCTTATACTCAACATGTGTGCAACGTATTTATACAGTTTGGCTAAGAATTGACTATTCCTCCTTTGAATTAAATTGAAAACATTGAAAATTCAAAAGTTTGGTTGCGAAATGTTGAAACTAATGAAAAATATCACAGTGTTGTAAATTATATTTTACTTTAGGACTATAATGCAAGTTGCATAATTCCAAAAGGTATGTGTTCATTTAAGATTCTAATAGCAAGCGTGATTACTCCGGCGTCAGTGACGGAGTTGAAAATTCGCTCCGGTTTTTTTTTGTTTTTTGTTTTTTTATTTTTCGTCGTCGCAAGTCTGCAATGGCGCGAAATATACTAGTATTTGAAATGTGTATGTGACTGTATTTATCCACGTCCCAGTCTTATCTCCCAAGAGTTGTGGTGCACAGCTTTGGCTAATTTTCCAATGCGCGATTTGATTTCGCTCGCATGATACGGCAATTCCTCCAAGAGGAACAAATAAACCGTTCTTTTCATGCTGTTCGATTAAGTTTAGATTGAATTGGGGTAAGAATATATTTAATACATGTAGAACCGGTCCTCTTTTAATAATATCGCTGCTATTTCGCCGTTTAACAAGATGATGTGGTCGTGTATGGGCGCGTTAACACGTCGCGTAGTTTGCACAGGATCGAAGATTTAATACAACTATATAAGCACGAATTCCAAAGGCAAAGTGTAAGACGAAGCGAATGTATCATGCGGTTTATTTACATTTTTATAAGCAATTGAACTTCTATACTGCGATGTGCTTCTGAATTTCGCGATCGAACATTTAGGTTCGCAAGGCATCTAAATGCGAATATGTATGCGAAACATTACGCGAACTGTATTGTTTATGTTCAGAAGCTCTATATTGAAGACTGGCACGTGCGCCGAGTTAACGCCAGAACGGCGTCTTGTTTAATTAAATACCTACAAAACGGTATTCGTTCTTATATTGTTGGCTAAAATAGTACACTCGCAAGATTACATGACGAGCAACAACAATTATGGATTGAAAATGAAAAGTACACAACATAACTAGCTATATTGTTTCTGGAAGATTTCAGAGTAACTAAATCTTTCAATAGCTGTTTTGTAAGTGAATTGAAGATGCATAGGAGAGTTTTGCGACTTCTGCAACGGAGAAAATTATATTATTGTTTTTATATTTGTTTTTACCTCTACAATTATGATTATATTATTAACTATGTTTATAGACTCTTAGTGAGTGATGGTCTAGTATCACAGTATCTCTACAAGATCGTGAAGTGGGAAGGGGCGGAATTATTTATACATTAGTGTTAAAAGCGAAAAAATAGTCCATTAAAAGTGGAGTCAGATTGGAATAATTTGGAACACGATAAAATTTTCTGAAACCCTGCAGAGTTTATTTAGGCTTTCTTTTTCTAAAAGGTTGAATTTTTTATGTTGATTTGATATTTTATAAGATTGCTTTTTCATAAGCAACTTTCTACCTTCGAATCATGTAAAGCACAATCTCGTTCAGGATCTGCAGGAAAATCATGTCATGAAAACAGTTTCCAGACTGACTGCACTACCAAACTATGAAATATGTAAAAATTTCAATTTAAATTTACCAATCAATTGATCGATACAGCGTGCAAAATGGCTCTCGGGATGGAAAACGGTAATATTACTGATAGGCAAATCACGGCTTTCAGCGAATGGAGAACAGATCATGGGGCGGCTAATGGAAGATTGAATTTCACACCGCGAAAAGGAAGAACAGGGGCATGGTCATCAGGGAGGAATGATCTTAATCAGTGGCTACAAGTTGATTTCCAAAGATCTACTCTGGTAACGGGCATAAGTACCCAAGGACGCATTGGATATAATCAGTTTGTTAAAAGCTACACCGTCTCTTCCAGCCAGGATGGAAAAATATTTCAACATTTTTTAGAAAATGGAGCAGTTAAGGTGCGTATTCTCCAAAAAAATATACCTATAACTAATTTTTTATTAATATTATTTTTATGGAGAAAAAATTGTTGCGCGAAAATGTGCAGTTTATTAATCTAGTGTGACAGGAATTGCAACAGACTTTAGCGTGTAGCGACAGACTTTCACACAAAAGGAATTAGTTATTTTGAAGCAGCCATGTTTTCTGTTTTATAAAATTCAAATAAAGCGATGTTATTCGCAAAAGCATTAGGAAAATTCCAAAATTTCAACTTAGAATAGCGCGCAAAAAATCTGAACGAGTGCCTCAAGATTACGCTATTTATAAACGAAGCTTGTGAGCTAAGTAACTTAGTAAGCTAAACATGAAAGCGCGAATTGATAGCCAAATGTAGACGACTAGCTAATGTGGTCTATATGCATTCCGCCACAAATCTGTTATCGCCATGCATTACAAGTTTTCATTGTTTACCTTTTAAAAAAAACGTGAATTCTGTATTTTTCTTATCATAGGCCACCCCAGAAATGTTTTCGTTCTTGTGGCGTTCGCGCGTGCTAGCGAGTCTACTCGGTCAATTATTATGACAAAAATTATTATATCATAATAATAAAACAATAAAAGACCGAGTAGATTCGCGTACACGCGCGAGCGCCACGAGAACGAAAACATTTCTGAGCTGGCTATGTTTTTATTGGCGCATGTAGTCAGTACTCAGTACGCGAGCAAAACTAAACACGGGCGCAATAAAAAGTATGAGGACTCCGCAAATGGTTTTTAAAAATGCAACGGTTAAAACACGATTACTCGCGTACTTGTATTCCTTTCCCAAATCTTCCAACAAAAAAGACCCTAATTGTACAGATTTTTTACGTGCAGTTATTTCCGTTATTCCCATTTAAATAAAATTTCTCCCAAATCTTAATACAAGCTAATATAATACGGCATGAAGTTAATGAGTTCACGGCAACCAGGTATATATTCCATCGTAATTATCGCTACTCTGGTTTTATTAAATGAAAGTAATCACCACACAAAGACCAACTTTCACAACCCAACGTTTTGACACTTCGGTCTAGTGTCTTCATCAGCGGTGATCTGATGTTGAAACTCGGTTCCTATACTCTCAAAAAAATCCCGTCTTGACTGGATGCAATTCCTCAGAAGGTGATTCCTCAAAAACAGGTGTTGCTATAGTTCCATACATTCAGGTAATTGCAGAACCAATCAGGAGAATATTGAATAATTGTGGTATAAAAGTTGCCTTAAAACCCTTTCAGACACTGGGGCATATTTTCGCGAAACCCAAGGATCGCGTAGCCACTAAACAGAAAACTCATGCTGCATACTCTATACCATGAGGTGATTGCGAGAAAGAAGGCCGTTCAAAAGGCCGTTTCGAACTTAGACAGTTCAAAATTGAAAGTTAAACGAGACTTACCTGTAAGTTGAAGTTTGACGGTGATTCTACGAGTGTTGGTTATGGAGCTAAGGAGTCACATGAAATATGCGCGCGAAGCCTGCCCAGATCACACTTCAAAGCTGAAGTATCATGACAATATTCCTAGGGAGGGAAAGAAAAGCATACATAGAAAATGATACCTCCGAAAACTCGGGTGGGTGGTGACTCCTTAGCTCCATAACCAACACTCGTAGAATCACCGTCAAACTTCAACTTACAGGTAAGTCTCGTTTAACTTTCAATTCTACATCGTGATTGGTTATTGTATCGTTGGCTAACTTCAGCCTAAACTCGGAACGGCAGTACAACTCTACAAACTTTATTGAAACATAAAATAATAATGAACTAAACTAGAATGCATACAAAATGGACGTCCTGCGTTTATAAAAGTTATTACTCCGGGAGTGACGTCACCGGAAATAATATGTCTATAGTAATATAATAATATAAATAAAATGGGTGACACATATCGTTACAGTTATGTTCGGTAAGGAGTCACATTAGACTTCAAAGCGTCATGATACTGAAGAATTAAAGTAACGACAAACACATAGAATGTAGCAATGAACAAAGTATTCTTATTCACAATATCTGTATAACACACAATAACTTAGTATAACACACAAGTTTATTGGCAATCCGTCAAGGAAGAAGATATGACACCAAGACCCGAGATTCCTTTCCCAGTAATGGGCTTTTTATAAAATTTTCCAAATGTACATTCATTTGACCACCCTCCGGCGGTGAGAATCCTGTCAATGCTAACTCCATTCCTGTGAGCAGCAGAGGCGACGGCAGCTCGTGTACTATGAGCACTGAATACTTTATTATCAATCCCTGCCTTAGCCAGGACTGTTTTGATCCAGCGAGCTATAGTGTCTGTTGAGACGGGATGGTATGGTCTTTGATAGCTTAACAGCAGCTGCCTGTTCGAACCTCGAAGCGAAACAGTTTTATTCAAATACAGCTGCAGATGTTTCACTGGACAAAGGTTGTTGTCTTCGAGAAATGCGTCAATCACAACTGGAGATAAATGATTACCCGGTCGAGTAGTTTTAAGCACACTGGTAATAAAGAACACACATTTGTTGACTTGAAATGTTAGATTGTCAATATTAAACGCCTTAATAGTTTGTACGCGTTGACCAGAAGACAGCGCCAAAAGCGTAGTAAGTTTTAGGGTTAAATCTTTAAGCGAGATACCTTCCAGTTGCCAAGTACACAGAAGACGCAAAACCACTGAAACATCCCAAATTACGTCATATTTTGAAAGGGACGGGCGATGTTCAAAAACACCTTTTAACAAACGGCAGACAAGCGGGTGAGAACCAAATTTCGTGTTATCTTACACGGGGAAAATAGAGGAAAGAGCACTTCGAGCAGTGTTGACGGCACTGTAACTGGAACCAGCTTGAAAGAGAGATGCTAGGAAATTTAGGCCATCCGCTACAGCTGCTCGAAGAGGATCAATTTTCCGTTGACGACAGTATATATTATATATTATTATATATATTTAAAATGCCAATATTGCAGTTAAAACTGAATTACATTGGTTTACATGAATATAGTTAATGGTCTAAAAATACTAATTATTTACAAGTCATAGCTATTTACACATAAAACCTATTTAAAACTAGAGTTATAGGCCCTGCTACCGGCTATTATAAAACTATTGGCAAACCTACTTGTCCTATGTTTTTGGATTGAAAGGCAATTATCATTACGCAGAGAGTAACCTGTTCTGTGTCTCGGTGGAACAAGGGAATGGAGTTTATGGGTTGTTTCGTGACACATTTGAACAAAAAGTTTGTCACATATGGTCTTTCTCCGTAGAGACAGCAACACCACCCCAGCGCGTACTAACGCATCTTCGTAGTTGAGTTCTGGGAAGATTATACGAAGGGCTCTGCGTTGAATACTTTCTATCTCGTCGCCCAAATATTGCGTTAAGCTGTAATGCCATACCTCGCACGAAAATTCTAAGATTGGACGAATGCACGTAGTATAAACTCGAACTAACTTGTCCGTTGGTATAGAGGATCTCTTAAGTAATCGTAAAGCATACAATCGCTTCGAAGCTTTCTTGCAGATATAACTGACGTGCTCAATCCATTTAAGATCGTTGGAGATCATGACGCCGAGTAATTTGGCATGCGAAACCACATCAATCTCCTGATCGTCGATGATGATCGGTGAAATAGTCTCAGTATCAAGAGAGAACCCTACACGAATTTCTTTTGTTTTCTTAGGATTCAATTTCATATTATTCTCAGAGGCCCATTTGGTAGATTCCGTAATTTGAGACGGTAAAACGGAATCAAGTTCTTGACTCTTTGAGACGATCTCCCATATAGTTGTGTCGTCAACGAATTTAACCGTATCGTCAGAAACATTCAAGTCGTTCACCATGATGAGGAAGAGGAGGGGGCCCAGTTTTGTTCCTTGGAGAACTCCTCCATTGATAGTCCTCCAGTTCGAAAAGTTAGAGCCAATTCTTGTTCTCTGGCTTCTGTCGGTAAGAAAATTGGCGATCCAATTGATTAAAATAGGGTGAATGTCCATGTTGACGAGTTTCTGCATCAGAATGTTAAAATCGATTCGGTCAAATGCTTTGGAAAAATCTAGCATGCATATCCGTAGGCAGGCTCCAGGTGTATCCATCGCTTCGTACCATTTATGGAGTAGATATATTAGCGCCATGGTGGTATTAGATCCTTTAATTGAACCAAATTGGAGTTTATCAATTTGGTCGTGAATAGACTGCAGGAGCCAGTTGTATGGGAACGACTCCAAGATCTTGCTTACTATGGGCGTGAGCGATATAGGTCGGAAGTCAGAGTCGACATCCAAGCCAGGAGAGGATTTTGCCGCAAGGATAACATTTGCTGATTTCCACAGGGATGGGATATAACCGTCATGGATGGATGAATTGAATATGGCTGCTAATGGGCGACATAATGATGAAGAATTTTCGCGGAGGAACCAAGACGTAATTTCGTCGGGGCCTGCAGCTGAAAAGAGTTTCACGGATTGCAGTGCCTTCTCGGTGTCGTTAACTGAGATGTAAAATTCAGGAGGAACATCGCTGACTTCGAGAGGAGTCCAAGCAAGCGGTGGCAGAGAATTTCCAACAGCAACAAACTTGTCATTAAACAGGTTGGCCAGAGCCAAACCGGAATAGGGCCGGCCGTTGTACACAAATGTTGAAACGTTTTTAGATGGGGCAAGGCCAGCAATATTTTTAACAGCGGACCACCATTTCCGTGGATTCGACTGGGTAGTATTAGCGACATTATTGGAATAGTACTTTGACCGAGCACGCCTACACAAAGTATTGATTTTGTTCCTATAAA